TCGTCCTGTCTGCGACGTTAAATAATTCCTGAGGAGTTACGGGGGATCTCCTTAAATGCCTCCTGATCAGCAACAGGTCTAGTAGTGACAACCATAGTATAGGTCTAGGCTAGAGACCCTAGTTGGCAGGATCCCTGTCCGGATTCTGTGAGTCCTTAGATTGAGTCAGTAGGTTTGTCAGTCAGGGGTTAGAGTCTACGTGGTGAGGTTTGGAACCGTCAATTCGGTTGTGCATTTATCACCATGGTCAAGACCCGTAGTGGGAAGAGCACTAGCCCCTACACTCAGGAACAGCAAGAGAAGATGGCTGCCTTAGTAAGAGAGAATAAGGAGAGGAAAGAGCTCCTGAAACAATAGCAATCGCAGAGGAGCAGGCGGTGAAGATGAAGGAATTGGAGGAGGAGATGGAGAAAAAGAAGAAGGTTGCTGAAGAAGAAGCGGCAGCAGAAGCAGAAGAGGAAAGGAAACGCGGGGAAGAAAAAGGGGAGAGTAGTGGCACGGCAAAGGAGGATGCTGCGATGGAAAAGAAGATCAGCGAGTGGATTGCTAATTTATCGTTGGGGGAAGATGAGGAGGCAGAGTTTTATGTGCCCCAGGACGAGAGGGATGCGTTAGCCAGTGAGCTAGCAGCCATGGAGGACCCTCTGGAACGGCGAGAAAGAGAAGAAGAGAAGAAGTTGGAATGGAAACTGAGGATGAAGAGGGAAAAGAAGAGGAGGAGGGACGAAGTTAATAGGCTGACCGAGGAGGTGGCAAAAATGAGAGATTGTAGACAAGAGGTGCAGGCGCAGCCAAACATTTCTGCCAAGATGGATAAGGTGTTGGATTATGTGGAAGTGTTGAGTGCGGCCTGGATGGAGCAGCGAGTGCCGTGCGGTCAGGATTTAGAGATTTCGCGCGCGGTATGGCCACCCACGTTGGAGGCGAAGTTAGGCGACTGAGAGACAGCATGGGGAAGTTTTGAGAGGGCGCCATCGAGGGTGCCAAAGCAATAGCCGTTGTAGAGGGCGCGGCCAGGCCTCATAAGGAGCCCGTTAAGCTTAAATTCCCAGATGCGTATGGAGGGAATAAGGAAGAAAATTTTGATAATCGGGAGGCTAGTGTGAACAATTACGTATACTTACAACATATCCTGACTGAGGAGCAAGTCCTCGTCGCCTTCCAGGCCCTTAAGGATGAAGCGGCTAGTTTTGCTAGATCTCTCGCGCACGCAGCCAGATGTGAAAACAACATGGATGCATATTCTAAGATTACCACCCTTCCTCAATTCTTCAAAGTCTTGAGGGAGCGATTTGCTGACCCAACGAGAGGCGTTAGAGCCTCTGACAAGCTACAGACTATCCACTCGCGACAGTGGAGGAGTGCAAGGGTACTCAAGGGCGTCACGGACGACTTGGTAGCCGTCCCAGACCATGGGGTCACTGATCCCCAGTTGGTCCAGTTATTTTATGGTGCCATGCCAGAGCCCCTGAGAGGGCATTTCTTTGATAGATCTCAATAGGCCGACATCACCTATGATGTACTGAGTAGAGAGGTGGTCCTGTTCGAGTCAAAGTCCATGCCAGTTTCCACTTTCTGGCACAAGGACTTGGACTAAGGAAAGAAGTGGAAGGGTCGTACCATCTTTGGCCAAGTGAGGGCCAAGGATCATATGATCCTCACGTTAGAAGAGGGTGGTACAGACGAGATCCCCTACAGTGAGATTGAGTGGGGGTTAGAGGAGGATGACAGCACCGTAGGGCAGGGGAGGTCTTATGCGGCTATCGCGGCTGGAGGGAGGCCGCAAGGTACAGGAGAAGGCCAGGGCCAAAGGGGCCAGGCCATGGGAAGCCGAGGACCGGGCGCACAGGGGGTTGGCGGACAAGGGAACCGCCAAGTGGGAAGCAGGGGTCAAGGTCCCCCGCCAAATCGTCAAGGTTCTTGTCGGTCCCCACAGCGACGAGGTGGAAGGCCACCTCAAGGAGGATGGCACCCAGGCTTGCCACAGGGCAGGCCCTGGGAAGACTTGGGCTTGGACCAGCGCGTATGGCAGGAACGCGTGAACTCGGGTCAGTGCGTGTTTTGTGGTGACCCGGCCCACGTAATTAAATTTTGTCCTCAGTACAAGCAGGCCCGATGGGCTGCTCAGCAGTCAAAAGGCAGCCGCCAGTAGCGGTCGCAACTGCCCCTACTTCAAGGTCATGTGGGGAAGCAAGCGCGCGCGAACAGGAAACTCCCAAACCACATGAGCCTATGGCAAAGGTTGCAGGCCCGTGCCTAGCTAGCTGTCCAGAGACTGCTTGTGTTAGCGTGTCTCTAGGCACGTCCCTCACAGGTGTGGCAGAAGAGCTGAAGGAGAGGATGCCAGCCTGGGCCAAAATAAAGAAGGAGAGTAAGGGACAGTTGATCTTTGTAGATGTAGAAGTGTTTAGAAGCAGAGTAGGGGCCCTTATAGACTTCGGGGCCACCTGCAGTTACATTAGCCGTAGGGCGCTGAAGAAGCTGAGGCTAGGATTCAAAGTCCAAAAGTTGGCAGACCCCATAGTCAGTGTCCTTGCAGACAACCACACGATGCGAGTTGAGGACTACGTAGAGGGAGTCCAGGCGTACTTTCGCCTAGGTGGAGAAAGTTCTCCATTCCCTGACTCTCCTCGTTCAGGATGACCTTCCTTTCGACATAGTGTTAGGAATGGATTGGGGAGAGGCAGCGGGGGCCACACTCCACTTAAGAGAGCATGAGTGTAGGCTCCCTAGTCCGTCAGGCGAGGTTAAGACTGCCCGCCTCCCAACCATTGCCAAGCTGTTGGAGGATTTTCAAAGATTTGACTGAGTCGCCGACAGGAGTAGTGTCGCGACCCATCCAACACAGGATAGAGATAGAGCCTGGCAGTAAAACTCCTAAGGGAGCAGTCTACAGGATGTCCCCTAGAGAGTTGGAGGAGTTGCGCAAGCAGTTAGATGAGCTCCTTGAAAAAGGTTGGATCAGGACAAGCTCATCTCCTTTCGGAGCACCAGTTTTGTTCATCCCCAAGAAGGAAGGAAAGTTGCGAATGTATATAGACTATAGGGGTTTGAATGCCATCACAGTGAAGAATGCTGAGCCGCTGCCCAAAATAGACGATCTTTTAGATCGGGTGCAGGGTTGTAAGTATTTTTTGAAGATAGATTTGAAGTCCGGATATCATCAGATAGAGGTCCATCCTGATGACCAGTACAAGACTGCGTTCCGGACTAGATATGGGCATTATGGATTCATAGTGATGCCCTTTGGACTAAACAACGCGCCAGCCACCTTTCAGCGTTGTATGAATGATCTGTTTAGACGTTGGTTAGATAAGTTTGTAGTAGTTTATCTAGATGATATATTAATTTTCAGCAGGACCCTCCAAGAGCATCAGGGTCATTTGAGGCAAGTCTTGGAGAAGCTGAGAGAAGCTAACTTCAAGATTAACGCGAAGAAGTGCGAATGGGCCAAAACACAGGTTTTGTACTTGGGCCACTTGTTAGACGGAGATGGCAATAAGCCACAGGACAGCAAGATAGCGGCAATTAGAGACTGGCCAATGCCCCGCACATTGACTGAATTGCGATTGTTCTTAGGCCTAGCTAATTACTATAGAAAGTTCGTAAGGAACTTCTCTATTATCGTCGCTCCCTTGCGCATGTTACTTAAGAAAGAGGCAATTGTTATGACCCTGGCCAATTTCGAGATACACATCCACTGGAGAGTACAATGCCATCCAATTGCAGAAAGAAATGAATGAACTTGAGAGGAGAGAGAGGAGTAGGAGAAGAAGAAGAAGTAAGAAATAAGAAGAAGAAGAAGAAGTAAGAAAGAAGAAGAAGAAGATGTACACCAGCAAAGACAATGACAAGGCTCTTCTTCTTCGCCCAACAATCTCCTCCTCCTTATCTCCCCCTCCTCTTATTCATACAAGAAATAATAATACAATATTGAATGACTGGTCCAGAATCATGTCCGAGTCCCTCTTCTACTGCAGGTATCACTCAAGGTCCACCATAGCCATGGCCGCCCCTCCCACGCTTCACTCTCATAGGCCAAGGCTATGGCGGACTACTAGGCCTTGCTCCGATGCCCAAAGGACAACACAGAGCAGCTATGGCTGCTTGGACTCAGGCCGCCATGCCCAACCCTGCCCTGAAGCTTCTTGATGTGGCCCTCCCCGGCTGGGGACTCCTTGCTGCAGCGCCCACCAAGGTGATGAAGATGGTTGCCACCATAGCCAGGTAAGTACCCCTGGCGCTCCTCCCCCTTCCTCCTTCCTTCCTCCTTCTTCCTCCCTCAAGTCCTTCTTCTTCCTCCCCAACAGCGCAACTCCAGCCCAGCGCTGCTCCCTCCAGCGCTCCACCAGTGTGTCGCCAAACTTGCACACCGAAAAAGAGGCCGGGTCTTCCGCCCGGCCGGAAGATATAGCGGCCTGCTTTGCCTCTCGGGCGGTGACTTCCAGGCCGCTGGCCTTCCCAAGCAACCGGTACCTCCTCCTCCTTTTGGAGGGAACATCATTGCAGACTCTGATATTGCCCCTACAGGCCCTAGACTCAGACTGGTACCCGCTAGACCTAGCCTACACTACCGGCCTCTCCCCGAGTCAACGCTTGGTCAACACCCTCGGTCAACACCTGGTCAACCCTCTGGTCAACCCTCTGGTCAACCCTTGGTCAACGCTTTGGTCAACGCCCGGTCAACCCTCAACCTCGGCTATGGCTGCCGGCACTATCACCTTTGTCACCCTCGCCGTCTTCTTCCCCTTCCTTCACTTTCTTTCTTCTTCTCCTTCGCTGCACATATATATATATATATATATTTTATACACACCCCCGGCTATGTCTGTCTTCTTCTTCGTTCTCCTCCTACCACACTTCTTCTTCTCTCTCCTCAGTCCCTCCTTCTCTGTCCTCCCTTTCTCTCTCCTCCGGTACTCTGTATTAATACTCCGCGGTTATAGCCGTCTTCCTCCTCCACCGGACTCCACAGCTCGGCTCACGGGTAAGTGACAACCAATCTTGGATCGCTCATCTCTCTCTCTCTCTCTCTCTCTCTCTCTCTCTCTCTCTCTCTC